GTACATTCGTACAGTAACTTACGTCTTCTTAAAACTATTTAAGGTGTTCAATAAAAAAATTAAAATAATTCAACTTTATATTGTGTAATTTTAATCTTACTGATAAGATCTTGCTTTTCCGAAGCTAAGTAGCGTGGTACTGGAAGTAATATTGTCATACTACTAGGAAAAAAATAAGTATTTTACTTTACCTGATATAAGCTAAACATTCAGAAAAAAATATAATGATTTGGGAATGAACTGGGACTTGTGATGACTACATCTCGTAAAGAAACAATTTACATATCAAAGATGCGAAAAAAATATAAGCCTAATGAGTTAAGATGTGTAGTGGGCTGGGCAAGATGATTTTACTCGAGCTGAGTAGACTTATTAACAGCTTCCTACGATCTGCTGCTTCCTGTTGTTCACCAGAAGGGTCTCCTGTTCTGTGGAGCGTCACTGTGTGGTTAGGCCAGTGCGACGGTAATAGTCACAGTCACTGCCAGTACTGCACACACATATCGGCGGTAAAGGTCACCTTTAGTGCCTTCTCAATGTCTTAGTAACATTAAGGAAGGTGCACATCAAGGAAGACGTATATCAAGGAAGACGTACATCAAGGAAGACGTACATCAAGGAAGATGTACAGGGAGGAAGACTTACATCAAAGAAGACGTTCAGGAAGGAAGACGTATATTAAAGAAGACGTACAGGAAAGAAGACGTACAGTACATCAAGGAAGGCGTACTGGAAGGAAGACGTACATCAAGCAAGACGTTCAGGGAGGAAGGCAGTATATCAAGGACGATAATAAAATATAGGGTCTAGTGAGATATATAAGAAGCTCTGGGGAGGTCAAAGAAACTCACGTGTAGAGGCGGCGACCCTCTAGCAGCAGGTGGTTGTCGAGGAGCAGGCCGCCAACTGACCAGGTCTCCTGGCCGCCATCAACAGAGAGGAAGGTTGTTGTCTCTCGTATTTTGCTCGTAGCAAGTACTAGAAAAAAAACTTTTATAATTTTTTTATATTAGCACCTAAGATGGTGATGGTGAAACGCTTTGACCTAAGTCGTTTGTCAGACCTTCCAATATTGGTTTGATTTTGTGTAGTTTTTAGAACCTTGATTGGTCCCATGTAATGGGGACAGCACTGAAACCAGTACAGTGAACGTCCACCAATTGTACAATACAACATGCCAGCACTAATAAGCTTACCGGTGGTAGTGGCTCCTGCATCTGGTGAGAGTACCTGGTAGAGGTGACAGCCGTGATGAGAGTGATACCAATTATTGGTTTAAACGTTGCTTTACTAAATCTACCGGATTTATCCTTCTCCTTTAAATTAGGTTTGGTTGGTACTTCGCTCTGATTGGCTGTGTGTGTGTCCTATATTTGTTTATATTTTGACAAGTCTTAATAACATTTTACTCAGGGCACCATGCAACAGTCCTTATAGACATTAGTAATATGGAGTCTCTCCGGTTGACACGAGGTGGCATATTGCATTCACCTGTGACCTACTAGCTACTATAGTTTAACCCTTCACGTTTTTATTCATATTTCAGCGACAAAAGTTCAGTCACTGGTGTATACCTCATGATTAAATAAAACTTAATTATAAGTAAATTTGATAAAAAGTTAGAAGTTGATATTCATTTAAATATTAAGATATCTATAAGACATATACTACTGCACTTATACTAGATGGTTTTAACATACACTTTTGATTAATAAATTACATACAGAAACTCATGACGAGAATAATTTTAAGTTATTTTTACAGCAGCAGAAACCGATAAAGCTGAAGAGAGGCGCAGTATAGTGTAACGGAGATGCTCATTAATGCCTTCTGTGTCTCGCTGTGTTCCTCATGTGGATCGATTTAAAAGAGAATTGAAAACAAAAATATAAGTTTACATTAATAAAATTCTAATGTTTTGTCAATCTATCAAGAAACATTTTGACAAATTTTCATGTTGTAAGACTTACTAATGTTAGACTATGTAGTTCTCAGCTCTATATAATCCTGAAGCTGTTATGTGCCTTTATCTTGTTTTCGATAATTATACTTGGTTATACAGGTATTATAACCAAGCATAAAAATGTAAAATTTGCATTTTTCACACTGTTAATTTCATGGGTGCTTTAAAGGAGGAACTTCCCTTTAGATATTTTAGATATATCGATCAATCCAACTCTCTAATTATTTATCTTTTCCTAGTGCTGTGTGGGGCAGATTGAGGATTACAGAACCTAAAAGAAAGGGTCAGGAACAATAGTAGAGGGAAGTGGTGAGACGTAAAGACACACACACTACCTCCCCATGTCATTAACTTACATACGCAGTGTACGAAGTGTATCTAGATTATATCTAACGCACATATTAGTTGAAAGTACCATAGGGATACCGGTATTTTGCACTTCCAGTATTCTCTTACCATAAAGGAGTTTGGGACGTTATATAACCTCTGCGCAATCCCCAATGTGGAGGCCTCGTTAAGAAGGATTCAATATTTGTTTTTATATATTCAAGTTTTTCCTTTTTTCTCGGACAAAACAAAAGTATTTATGTAATATCTAATATCGTTGTATAATTAAGTTGTGTATGAGAAGAGTCGAGTGAGGGAGACGCAGTGACGAAAGAGCACGAACACGCACTCCACAGAATAAATTGATAATAATCCACTGCTTCACGGTGTTATGGTAACGTGATAGTCCTTCCCAAGACAACAGGGTCTTCGCGTCTCCTCCCACCCACACTCTGTTTGTTTAATAGATTTCTCCTACTGCCCTGGTCTATTCTGCTGCCCTGGTCTGTTCTCCTACCCTGGCCTGTTCTCCTACCCTGGTCTGTTCTCCTACCCTGGTCTGTTCTCCTACCCTGGCCTGTTCTCCTACCCTGGTCTGTTCTCCTACCCAGGCCTGTTCTCCTGCCCTGGCCTGTTCTCCTACCCTGGTCTGTTCTCCTGCCCTGGCCTGTTCTCCTACCCTGGTCTGTTCTCCTACCCTGGTCTGTTCTCCTACCCTGGCCTATTCTCTTGCCTGGTCTATTCTGCTACCCTGGTCTGTTCTCCTACCTGGTCTGTTCTCCTACCTGGTCTGTTCTCCTACCTGGTCTGTTCTCCTGCCCTGGTCTGTTCTCCTACCTGGTCTGTTCTCCTACCCTGGCCTGTTCTCCTGCCTGGTTTGTTCTCCCTACCTGATCTGTTCTCCTACCCTGGCCTATTCTCCTGCCTGGTCTATTCTGCTGCCCTGGTCTGTTCTCCTACCCTGGCCTGTTCTCCTGCCCTGGTCTGTTCTCCTACCTGGTCTGTTCTCCTGCCTGGTCTGTTCTCCTGCCTGGCCTGTTCTCCTACCCTGGCCTGTTCTCCTGCCTGGTCTGTTCTCCTGCCTGGTCTGTTCTCCTACCTGGTCTGTTCTCTTACCCTGGCCTGTTCTCCTGCCTTGGTCTGTTCTCTCTTACCCTGGTCTGTTCTGCTGCCCTGGTCTATTCTGCTGCCCTGGTCTGTTATGCTGCTCTGGTTCTCGCGTTCTGCTGTCCTGGTCTGTTTGTCTGCTTTAGTCTGCTATGCTGCCCTAGTTTGTTCTGCTGTCCTTGTCTGTTCTGCTGCCCTGGTCTGTTATGCTGCTCTGGTTCTCGCGTTCTGCTGTCCTGGTCTGTTTGTCTGCTTTAGTCTGCTATGCTGCCCTAGTTTGTTCTGCTGTCCTTGTCTGTTCTGCTGCCCTGGTCTGTTCTCCTACCCCTGGCCTGTTCTCCTGCCTTGGTCTGTTCTCCTGCCCTGGTCTGTTCTCCTACCCTGGTCTGTTCTCTTACCCTGGCCTGTTCTCCTACCTGGGCTGTTCTCCTACCCTGGCCTGTTCTCCTGACCTGGTCTGTTCCCTGCCTGGTCTGTTCTCCCTACCCTGGACTGTTCTCCTACCCTGGCCTGTTCTCCTGCCCTGGTCTGTTCTGCTGCCTGGTCTATTCTGCTGCCATGGTCTGTTCTGCTGCCATGGTCTGTTATCTGCTTGGTTCTCGCGTTTTGCTGCCCTGGTCTGTTCTGCTGCCCTGGTCTGTTATGCTGCTCTGGTTCTCGCGTTCTGCTGTCCTTGTCTGTTCTGCTGCCATGGTCTGTTATGCTGCTCTGGTTCTCGCGTTCTGCTGTCCTGGTCTGTTTGTCTGCCTTAGTCTGCTATGCTGCCCTAGTTTGTTCTGCTGCCTCTGGTCTGTTCTGCTGCCCCTGTCTCCTGGTCTGTTCTGCTGCCCTGGTCTGTTCTGTTGCCCTGGCCTGTTCTCCTGCCCTGGTCTGTTCTGATGCCCTGGTCTGTTCTGTTCTGGTCTGTTCTGTTGCCCTGGTCTGTTCTGCCCCTGGTCTGTTCTGCTGCTCTGTTTTTTCTGTTGCCTGGTCTGTTCTCCTGCCCTGGTCTGTTCTGCTGCCCTGGTCTGTTCTGTTGCCCTGGCCTGTTCTCCTGCCCTAGTCTGTTCTGCTGCCCTGGTCTGTTATGCTGCCCTGGGGTGTTCTGTTGCCTGTCTGTTCTGCTGCCCTGATGTATTTTTCTTGCCCTGGTCTGTTTTCCGGCCCTAGTCTGTTCTCCTACCCTGGTCTGTTCTGCTGCCCTGGTCTATTCTCTTACCTGGTCTGTTCTCCTACCCTGGCCTGTTCTCCTACCCTGGTCTGTTCTCCTGCCCTGGTTCTCTACCCTGGTCTGTTCTCCTACCCTGGCCTGTTCTCCTGCCCTGGTCTGTTCTCCCACCCTGGCCTGTTCTCCTGCCCTGGTCTGTTCTCCTGCCCTGGTCTGCCCTCCACCTGGTCTGTTCTCTCACCCTGGTCTGTTCTCCTGCCCTGGTCTGTTCTCCTACCCTGGTCTGTTCTGCTGCCCTGGTCTGTTATGCTGCTCTGGTTCTCGCGTTCTGCTGTCCTGGTCTGTTTGTCTGCCTCAGTTTGTTCTGCTGCCCTAGTTTGTTCTGTTGCCCTGGTCTGTTATGCTGCTCTGGTTCTCGCGTTCTGCTGTCCTGGTCTGTTTGTCTGCTTTAGTCTGCTATGCTGCCCTAGTTTGTTCTGCTGTCCTTGTCTGTTCTGCTGCCCTGGTCTGTTTGTCTGCCTCAGTTTGTTCTGCTGCCCTAGTTTGTTCTGTTGCCCTGGTCTGTTATGCTGCTCTGGTCTGTTCTGCTGCCCTGGTCTGTTCTGCTGCCCTGGGGTGTTCTGCTGCTCTGGTCTGTTCTGTTGCCCTGGTCTGTTCTGCTGCCTGGTCTGTTCTGCTGCATGGTCTGTTCTGCTGCTCTGGTCTGTTCTGCTGCCTGGTCTGTTCTGCTGCATGGTCTGTTCTGCTGCCCTGGGTGTTCTGCTGCTCTGGTCTGTTCTGCTGTCTGGTCTGTTCTGCTGCCCTGGGGTGTTCTGTTGCCCTGGTCTGTTCTGCTGCCTGGTCTGTTCTGCTGCCCTGGGGTGTTCTGCTGCCCTGGGGTGTTCTGTTGCCCTGGTCTGTTCTGCTGCCTGGTCTGTTCTGCTGCCCTGGGGTGTTCTGTTGCCCTGGTCTGTTCTGCTGCCTGGTCTGTCTGTTGCCCTGGGGTGTTCTGCTGCCTGGGGTGTTCTGTTGCCCTGGTCTGTTCTGCTGCATGGTCTGTTCTGCTGCCCTGGGGTGTTCTGTTGCCCTGGTCTGTTCTGCTGCCTGGTCTGTTCTGCTGCCCTGGGGGTGTTTGTGTTGCCGTGTTGTTGTTCAGCTGCCCTTGTTCCCTTGCTCTGCTGCCCTGGTCTGTTCTTCTGCCCTTGTTCCCTTGCTCTGCTGCCCTGGTCTGTTCTTCTGCCTGGTCTGTTCTGTTGCCCTGGTCTGTTCTGCTGTCCTGGTTTTCTTTTTATACTGCGCTGTCCTAATTGTCTGCCCTGGTCTGTTCTGCTGCCATAGACTGTTCTGTTGCTTTGGTCTCTTCTGGTACCCTGATTTGTTCTGCTGCCCTTGTCTATTCGCTTGTCCTGGTGAGTTCTGCTGTCCTGGTTTGTCCTGCTGTCCTGGTTTGTCCTGCTGTCCTGGTCTGTTCTGCTGCTCCTGGTCTGTTCTGCTGCCTGGTCTGTTCTGCTGTCCTGGTCTGTTCTGCTGCTTTGGTCTGTTCTGTTGCCTTGGTCTTTTCCACTACTCTGGTTGTTTTGTTCTGCTGCTTCTGGTCTGTTCTGCTGCCCTCTGTCTGTTCTGCTGTCCTGGTTTGTCCTGCTGTCCTGGTCTGTTCTGCTGCTCCTGGTCTGTTCTGCTGCCTCGTCTGTTCTGCTGCCATGGTCTGTTCTGCTGCCTTGGTCTGTTCTGCTGTCCTGGTTTGTCCTGCTGTCCTGGTCTGTTCTGCTGCTCCTGGTCTGTTCTGCTGCCCTCGTCTGTTCTGCTGCCATGGTCTGTTCTGCTGCCTTGGTCTGTTCTGTTGCCATGGTCTGTTCTGCTGCCTTGGTCTTTTCCACTACTCTGGTTGTTTTGTTCTGCTGCTCCTGGTCTGTTCTGCTGCCCTCGTCTGTTCTGCTGCCCTCGTCTGTTCTGCTGCCATGGTCTGTTCTGCTGCCTTGGTCTGTTCTGCTGCTGGTCTGTTCTGCTGCTCCTGGTCTGTTCTGCTGTCCTGGTCTGTCTGTCTGTCCTGGTCTGTTCTGCTGCTTTTGTCTGTTCTGCTGCCCTCGTCTGTTCTGCTGCCCTCGTCTGTTCTGCTGCCATGGTCTGTTCTGCTGCCTTGGTCTGTTCTGCTGCCTGGTCTGTTCTGCTGCTCCTGGTCTCTTCTGCTGCCCTGGTCTGTCTCTGGTCTGTCTCTGTCCTGCTTTTGGTCTGTTCTGCTGCTCGTCTGTTCTGATGCCTTGGTCTGTTCTGCTGCCCTCGTCTGTTCTGTTGGTCTGTTCTGCTGCCCTCGTCTGTTCTGCTGCCTTGGTCTGTTCTGCTGCCTTGGTCTGTTCTGCTGTCTCTGTTCTGCTTCCTCGTCTGTTCTGCTTCCTGCTCTGGTCTGTTCTGCTGCCTTGGTCTGTTCTGCTGCCTGGTCTGTTCTGCTGCTCCTGGTCTGTTCTGCTGTCCTGGTCTGTTCGTCTGTCCTGTTCTGCTGCTTTGGTCTGTTCTGCTGCTGCTGATCTGTTCTGCTGCCCCTGGCTGCTGTCTGTTCTGCTGCTGGTCTCTGCTGCTGTCTGTTCTGCTCCTGTCTGTTCTGTCTGTCCTGTCTGTTCTGCTGCTTTGGTCTGTTCTGCTGCTCCTGTTCTGCTGCCTCGTCTGTTCTGCTGTCCTGGTGTCCTGCTGTTTGGTCTGTTCTGCTGCTCCTGGTCTGTTCTGCTGGTCTGTTCTGCTGCCATGGTCTGTTCTGCTTGGTCTGTTCTGTGTCCTGGTCCTGCTGTCCTGGTCATGGTCTGTTCTGCTGCCTTGGTCTGTTCTGCTGCCATGCTGTTCTGCTTTCTGTTCTGCTTGTCTGTTCTGCTCCTGGTCTGTTCTGCTGCCCTGGTCTGTTTTGCTGTCCTGGTCTGTCTGTCTGTCCTGGTCTGTTCTGCTGCTTTGGTCTGTTCTGCTCCTGTCTGCTGCTGCCTGGTCTGTTTGCCCTCGTCTGTTCTGCCTGGTCTGTTCTGCTGCCCTCCCCTGGTCTGTTCATGGTCTGTTCTGTTGCTGGTCCTTCTCTGTTTGGTCTGTTCTGAGTGCCCTGGCTGCTGTTCTTGCTCGTCTGTTCTGCCTCGTCTGTTCTGCTGTGGTCTGTTCTGCTGCCTGGTCTGTTCTGCTGCTCCTGGTCCTGGTCTGTTCTGCTGCCCTGGTCTGTTTTGCTGTCCTGGTCTGTTGTCTGTCCTGGTCTGTTCTGCTGCTTTGGTCTGTTCTGCGTCTGTTCTGCTGCTCTGTCTGCTGCCCTCGTCTGTTCTGCTGCCTTGGTCTGTTCTGCTGCCCTCGTCTGTTCTGCTGCCTTGGTCTGTTCTGCTGCCTTGGTCTGTTCTGCTGCCTTGGTCTGTTCTGCTGCCTTGGTCTGTTCTGCTGCCTTGGTCTGTTCTGCTGCCCTCGTCTGTTCTGCTGCCCTCTGTCTGTCTCTGCTGCCTTGTCTCTGCTGCCTTGGTCTGTTCTGCTGCCTTGGTCTGTTCTGCTGCTCTTGGTCTGTTCTGCTGTCTGTTCTGCTGCTCCTCTGTCTGTTCTGCTGCCTTGGTCTGTTCTGCTGCTCCTGTTCTGTTCTGCTGCCTTGGTCTGTTCTACTGTTCCCTTTCGTCTGTTCTGCTGCTGCTTGGTCTGTCTCTTTGTCTGTTCTGCTGCCTTGGTCTGTTCTGCTGCCCGTCTGTTCTGCTGTGTCTGTTCTGCTGCCTTGGTCTGTTCTGCTGCCCTCGTCTGTCTCTGCTGCCCTGTCTCTCTGCTGCTGCCCTCGTCTGTTCTGCTGCCTTGGTCTTTTTCCACTACTCTGGTTGTTTTGTTCTGCTGCCCTGGTATGTTCTGTCTGTCCTGTTTCTCTTGTTCTGCTGCCCTGGTCTATTTATCTTCCCTGGTCTGTTCTGATCCCTGGTTGTTTTGTTCAACTGCCCTGTCTGTTCTGCTGCCCTGGCTGTTTTGTTCTGTTGCCCTGGTTCTCTTGCTCTGCTGCCCTTCTTGTTTTGGTCTGCTGTCCTGGTTCTCTTGTTCTGCTGCCCTGGTCTGTTCTCAACCCTGCTTGTTTTGTTCTGCTGCCCTTCTTGTTTTGTTCTGCTGCCTGGTCTTTCTCAACCCTGCTTTGTTTTGTTCTGTGCCCTGGTTCTCTTGTTCTGGTGCCCTGTTCTCTTGTTCTGCTGCCTGGTTCTCTTGTTCTGGTGCCCTGGTTCTCTTGTTCTGTTCTCTTGTTCTGGTGCCCTGGTTCTCTTGTTCTGTTGGTTCTGTTCTGCTGCCTGGTTCTCTTGTTCTGTTCTGTTCTGTGCCCTGGTTCTCTTGTTCTGCTGCCCTGTTCTCTTGTTCTGCTGGTTCTCTTGTTCTGGTGCCCTGGTTCTCTTGTTCTGCTGCCCTGGTTCTCTTGTTCTGCTGCCCTGGTTCTCTTGTTCTGCTGCCCTGGTTCTCTTGTTCTCTGCTGGTTCTCTTGTTCTGCTGCCCTGGTTCTCTTGTTCTGCTGCCCTGGTTCTCTTGTTCTGCTGTCCTGGTTCTCTTGTTCTGGTGCCCTGGTTCTCTTGTTCTGCTGTGGTGTTCCTGGTTCTCTTGTTCTGCTGCCCTGGTTCTCTTGTTCTGCTGCCCTGGTTCTCTTGTTCTGCTGCCCTGGTTCTCTTGTTCTGCTGCCCTGGTTCTCTTGTTCTGCTGCCCTGGTTCTCTTGTTCTGCTATCCTGAATGTTTTAGTCTTCAGTTTTGATTGTTTTCTGTTGTGACTTTTTTCTCGGTTACGTTTCTCTCTCTCTCTGAACATGATTTTGTCCTCCATGGTTGTCTTACTACCATGGTTTTGCCTTTCATGTCTCTTACTACCATGAATTTGTCTTCCTTGGTCACTTTACGAGCATGGTCTTGTCTCCCACGGTCATCTTATTACCATGAACTTATCTACCATGATACTGTCTTCTATGGTCACATTATGAGCATGGTCTTGTCTCCCATGGTCGTATTACTACCATGAACTTATCTACCATGACCCTGTCTTCCATGGTCGTATTACTATCATAAACTTATTTCCCATGGTTGTCGACTTACTATCATGTCGCGCTGTGTTCCTCAAAAACATCTCTCATTCCTGTTTTTCGTACGAAGTCTCGCCTCTACTACCTCTCGCTCTTCCCTCCTGGATGACGTTGTTTTTCCCAGCTTGTTTTGTCTTTGTGACGTTTTTGCTGCTGATTCGGTTTGTTTTTCTTCAATCGCTTGTTATATTGTGGTTATTTTCTCTCTCCTGTCCTCTTTGCACCGTATTCATGATATGTTTTTGTTTTTTCGTTGTGTGTGTGTGTGTGTGTGTGTGTGTGTGTGTGTGTGTGTGTGTGTGTGTGTGCGTGCCTTGTTTTGTTCACATACATTGTACACGTTACTGTTCTCTCTCTCCCGATACCATGTGAAAGCTGAGTGTATTTGTCTTACCAATGATGGTTCCTGGTCCAGTATTTGCCGCTAAGTAACTTTTCTTATTTTGTTCCGTCTCTCTGTCAGTCTTAACTTATCTTCTATTCTTACATTATATGTAAACTTTCTGGTTATGTTTTTTTCGTAACCTTCTCTATATATTTCAATTCCTTGGTAATATATAAACTCCTTGGCAACACATAAACTCCCAGGTAATAAAGAAACTCCCTGACAACAGATAAACTCCTTGGCAATAAATAAACTGCCTGGCAAAAATAAACTCCCTGACAAATAATAATCTGTCTGGCAATAAATAAACTCCTTTGCAACATATAAATTATCTGGCAATAAATAAACTCCCTGGCAACACGTATACTCCCTGGCAACACGTAAACTCCCTGGCAACACATAAACTCCCTGGCAACACATAAACTCCCCTGCAATAAATAAACTACCTGCTAATAAATAAACTGCCTGGCAATAAATAAACTTTCTGACAAATAATAAACTACCTGGCAATAAATAAACTCTCTGACAAATAATAAACTGCCTGACAAATAATAAACTGCCTGGCAAATAATAAACTGCCTGGCAATAAATAAACTGCCTGGCAATAAATAAACTGCCTGACAAATAATAAACTGCCTGGCAATAAATAAACTGCTTGACAAATAATAAACTGCTTGACAAATAATAAACTGCCTGGCAATAAATAAACTGCCTGGCAATAAATAAATTCCCTGACAAATAATAAACTGCCTGGCAATAAATAAACTACCTGGCAATACTTACATGTTTTTCCAACTTTCATGACTTATAATGCCACTCACTTAAACTTTCTTGGTTCTAATATTTGTTGACCTTAATTTCTTATTTTCCCTAATTTCTTCTTGAGTCTAGATTGTATTTGACATTAACTTGAACTTTACCATAGCTTGTTCTTAACACAAAATTGTTTAGTCTTTCTTAACTTTTTTTTTAACTCTACCTCGTTCTTGTTTTCTTAAAATATTCCTAACAGTAACTTGATTTCACTTCCTTAACTTGTTCTTGATATTAATATGTTCTTTCCTCCATAACATATTCTAGAAACTAATTTATTCTTGATTCAAATTTTTTCATTTCTCATTAACTACTTATTGTCACTAATTTTCTCTTGTCTCAATAACATGTTCTTGACGTTAACTTGTTTTTAATACCATCTTGTTTCTTCCTCCTCTAACTCAATCTCTACACTCACTTGTTTCTATCACTAACCTGTTCTTTCCTCATTAACTTAATCATGATTTGTTCTGGTTTTTAACTTTTTGTGCAAGAGATAGGAAACGTAGGACTAGGGTGTGTTTTCCTGGGGCTGGGATAGGGCATGTAGCTGAGAGGATAGATAGGGTTTTGTCAGGGGAGGGTACCAAGCCAGTAGTGTGTCTTAGTGTGGGAGGTAACGACATAGGAAAGGTTAGGAGTGAGGAACTTTTCAAGAGGTAAAGGGAGGCGCTGGGGAAGGTTACACAGATAGGGGAGGGATCCCGATAATATGTGGTGTCTTGCCTAGAAGAGGAGTTGGTCGTGAATGGCTGTCCAGGGCAATTGCTATAAATTGACGACTGGAAAAACATTGTGTAAGCAATGGTTGGACATTCATTGATAACTGGCAACCATTCTATGGCAACGACTACCTGTACAGTCGTGACGGAGTACACTTGTCTTGCGTGGGGGTAAAGACGTTTTTTTTTTTATTGGGCACCCCCTTACATCCTTGTGTAAGGTGAAGCGCAGTAGCGTTTACAGCGCCAAACAGGGAAGCATGCTAAGTCCATGCTTGCCTTTATGTCTCACGAGTTAAGGGCGTAGAAGCCTGAAGAGTCAGTGGTTTATGTCATCAAGTTATTGGAAGCTCCAACAACTTTCCCTGAATACGAATTCGCAACTTTCGATTTACACCAGGTACCTACTTTATTGCCAGGTGAACAGGAACTAATGGAGGCTAGGAAGTAAGTCCAAACAACTTCCACTGACCCGGGAATCAAACCCGTGACATCTCGCATGCGAGGCAAGAACGGTACCGGTACCGGTACCGATCCCCCGGTAAAGACGTTGTCTGCATCCCTGGAGCGTGAAATTGTCACTCCAAAGGAGGGGGGGGACGCCAGTAGAGAGAGGTCGGGGTAAGTTTGAGTAAAAAAAACAAGCAGGTCCTGGGGAGTAAAATTGGTTACTCAGGACAAGGGGTAAAACAGGACCAGGGAAGGGTAGGTTTAAATGTATACTATACAGACAGTAGGAGCGTTAGAAATAAAACAGACTTGCTGAGAGCTGTAGTATGTACCGAGAATGTAGACGTCATAGCAATCACCGAAACTTGGATGAATCTAGCGAGCAAAAACTTTTTATCAGAGTACCACATAGAAGGGTACAAACTTTTTCACAAGGACAGGGAAGGTAGGAAGGGGGGCAGGGGTCGCACTCTTCGTCAGGGATACATTAAAATGTTGTATTAATAATTCAATAAAGGGTGAAATTGGAAGCGAGTCTGTGTGGGTAGAAATTGCGGAAGAAAGAGAAAAACTAATTATGGAAGTGATTTACAGGCCTCCAAGTCTTGGGAAATTAGCAGCTCAGCCCAATGACAGGAAATGAGTAGGGCAGCAAAATACAACAACCTGTGCATTATGGGAGATTTCAACTTCAGAAATATTGACTGGGACAACATTGTAGGCGACTATGAATCTGAAGACTTCCTAGACGCAGTCCAGGACAATTTTTTGAAACAACTAATTGCAGAACCTACTAGAGGTAACAATATATTAGACCTAGTATTAACAAATAAAGAAAATATTATCAGAGATATCACAATAGGGGAAGAACTAGGGAACAGTGATCACAGAGAAATCAGGTTCACCCTAAATTGGGAAACGAAAAACAATGACAATATGGTCAGAGTCCCAAACTTTCGATTGACGGATTATCAGGGGTTAAGAAGGTACCTAGGTGAGGTCGCCTGGGAACAGTCAGGTCAGTCCCCAGTAGGAATGGGTGAGGTCACAGGTGGCACAACAATTGATCATGACTATAATATATTCACTTGTTTACTACGTAAAGCACAAGAACAAAATATACTATACAGAAAAATTAGGTCAAATAAGAATGAGCCAAGGCGGATGACCAGAAAACTTAAACATGACATAGGAATAAAGAAAGGAATTTATAAGAAATTAAAGGGAGGGGAGGAGCAGCTCAGAAATAGGTATAATGAACTATCTAGGAATGTAAAGAATAATGTAAGGAAGACGAAGAGGGACTATGAAATCAAAATAGCAAGAGAATCCAAGGCAAATTACAAGGGATTTTTCCAGGTATATAGGGCTAAGGTCAAGGACAAAGTTGGGCCCTTAAAGTCAGGAAGGGGGTAAGTGATCGATGACAGTGAGGAAATAAGCAAAGCATTCCTACTTTTTATCGGTTTTCACAGAAGAAATTCACGAGGAAATTCCAGAGGTGGAACTGATATTTAGGTGAAATGAAGAAGAGAAAGTAAAGAATATCACTATCATATAAGAGGATATTCTTAAGAAGATAAATGAATTAAAGAAGACAAAATCCCCAGGGCCGGATGAAATTTTCCCTCAAGTTTTGAAAGAGTGTAAGGAACAGTTTAGCGGACCCCTCGTAAATTTATTTACAAAATCATTAGACATGGAAGTTATGCCAGACTTGTGGAAACACGTAAATGTAGTACACATATTCAAAAAGGGAGACAGAGCATCAGCGTCAAATTACCAGCCGATTAGTTTGATGTCAGTAGTGGGGAAATTTCTTGAATCAATTATAGCAAATAGCATCCGATCGCATTTAGAGAAAAGCAATTTAATCTACGACTCTCAACATGGGTTTACAAAGTGAAAATCTTGTCTAACAAATCTGCTGACGTTTTTTAGGAAAGTCTTCGAAGTAGTAGATAATGACGAAAATTACGATGTTATTTACTTAGACTTTAGCAAAGCGTTTGACAGAGTACCGCATCAGAGGCTTCTGAGAAAAGTTAAGGCTCATGGTATCGAGGGGAAAGTTTTGAGTTGGATAAAATCATAGCTCACCAAGAGAACACAGAGGGTCAGCATAGATGGTGTTAAATCTGAGTGGGGTTGTGTTACCAGTGGGGTTCCCCAGGGGTCAGTACTGGGCCAACTGTTGTTCATAATCTACATAAACGATCTAAATACTATGATCATCAGTGACATAAGCAAGTTTGTGGATGATACCAAAATAGGGCGGCCGA